TGCTTGCCCCAGCACGTTCCTCCACACCCCACTTTTTTTTTTTAGAAGGTGAGCATTTGTTCTGTTTGCTCTTGCCAACTGATCAAGCTGACAAGAGCAAACGGGACAAATGCCCACTTTTGCCAAAAAAGTCAGGACCATCGGGACAGGGCTTAAAAAAGGGACTGTCCTGGCCAGAACGGGACGTATGGTTACCCTACCTGTCACCAAGATGCCACCTGAGTCCTACCCACGGGTAGCCAGCACTTCTTCCAGCAGAGGGCTGGGCTCTCTTTGAAGGTCTCTTGAACAAAGAGGCAGCCCAGCCTCCCCGTTTACCATTTCTGGCTGAAGTGGAGAGGATCAGCACAGATGGACATGCAGCACTTTGTACAAGTGTTGTTTCAAAGACGGCCCTCCAGCCCTCCAGGGGTGAAGTTCACAGGAGGTGAGGCTGGAAGGGGTCTCTGTCCCAGGGGTTTAAACAGCCTTAGGGCACAAGGTAATTATTTGCATTGTCACCACAGTTGATGGCTGTCACAGGCTGACTGGCCCCTTTAAGAAGTGAGGGGGGAGGGGAGGGAAGAGAAGTCCAGTGCACCTGTTACCGATTCCTTCCTGCCCAACTGGGCTTAAGGGAAGGAACCTGGGTCTTACAAAGACAGCGGCGGCAGCAGGGGAAGGCTGGTTACCCACTGATCTCTCTCACCCAAGGGAGGTGAGGGAGCTGCTGGGGAAGTAAGGGCAGAAGCTGCAGAGGGCAGGAGGTCCTACCCGCGGTGGCCAGGAGAGCAGCAGAGGGGCTTTGCCTGCTGACCTCTCTAGGCCAAAGAGAGGGAGAGTTGAAGAAAGCTGAGTTTTGGCCAGGGGTGGCTGCTTGGTGCAGAGCAGTTTGGGACAAAAGAAGCGCTCCAAACCTGGCTGAAGAGGTCAGAGCAGAAGCTTTGTGTTGTGCTGATGGACTCTATTCTGGGACTCTGAGGAACGTTTGTTATTAATCCATCTCCAGGCCAGGGTGCTGCTAGCCACACAAAAGCCCTGCTAGGACGGTAAAGTATTTACCCTCTGAGGAGCTGCCTGGCCCTTCCCCTCTGCTTCAGAGCAGGGGGTGCAGCTATGGCAATCTGTAAGTGTCTGCAGGCTGGCTGAGCCAGTGCCCCTGCCGGTGTGGTCCCTGTAACCTCCCAGGGGAGAGGCACCAGCACCTACGCCATGGTCAGCACCTACACCATGGTCAGCACCTACACCATGGTCACTGACACAGCTAGGGGGAGCGAGCGAGCGTTAGCAGGTCGCTAAACTTTAACACACGGGGCTTGCAGCTGCTGTGTTTCTGGAGTCTCCAGACGGTTTATAAAAAGCCCGGTGGGTGAACAGTGAAAGACACGGCAATCTGAACATCAGAAATGTTGCCCCCGGGGAATCAATTACTCGTGTCTCAGTCTCCGTGTACT